CTTTCGTTCTGATATCGTCATCATACTCGATCTTGGATGGTGTCACTTTTTTTTTCGTTTCCCACTTTTTTCGGATCCGAAATATTTTCGCCTCCGCCTTTGTTTCCACTCCGCGCTCCACGCTCCACGCTTTGATCCATCCCGCTGCGGCACCTTTGTTATCTCTTCCACATTCCGCACTTGGCCCACCCCCACCCACCACCACCATTACCACATTGTGCCACCATCACCACCTCTCTCGTGTTCAACACTCACCAACGTCTCCGCCACTATCGCCAAATCCATATCGCTTCGTCGTCGCCATCTGACGTGACCTTGCTCACCATCCTACAGCAAGATGGCTCGTACCAAGCAGACAGCCCGAAAGTCTACCGGTGGTAAGGCTCCCCGTAAGCAGCTCGCCACCAAGGCCGCACGCAAGTCGGCCCCCGCCGCCGGTGGTGTTAAGAAGCCCCACCGTTACAAGCCCGGTACCGTCGCTCTTCGTGAGATTCGACGCTACCAGAAGTCGACTGAGCTCCTCATCCGAAAGCTCCCCTTCCAGCGTCTCGTTCGTGAGATTGCTCAGGACTTCAAGACTGATCTCCGATTCCAGTCGTCCGCTATTGGCGCTCTCCAGGAGGCTGCCGAGGTAAGTTTTGACTCGGCCATTCCTCGCTTTCGAAGCCAAGACTCAGCCACTGACTTGCAGTTCTTATCTTTCTTGGATTCCCATCACTCACAGGCCTACCTCGTCTCGCTCTTCGAGGACACCAACTTGGCTGCCATTCACGCCAAGCGTGTTACCATCCAGCCCAAGGACATTGCCCTTGCCCGACGACTCCGCGGCGAGCGCTCCTAATTGGCTTCACTTCACATGGCTGTCGTGATGGCCACCATGCCATCTCGCTCTTCTTTGTGCAGTTGTACCAGTAGTCGATCGTTCTCTTTCTTGTCTTTCCGTGTCTCGTAATCTGTCTCTATCTCTTCGCATCGCCTTTCAGCTCGGTTCCTCTTGCACTTTTTCCGTTTGTGATGGTGCCTGCACGGTTCCTTTGACGCTACAGGCATCTTGTATACCTCTCTGCTCGATCGCCCCGGCAATTCAGTAGTATTTTTCGATCTATTTTTTTTTTCTAGTGTGACAGAGTTGTGTCTAGCTTCAGGACGGCTTGAGATGGAGGAAAAAATCACGGTTGGAAATCCAGTATTATCGAGATTGGCCTCTGTGTGTGTGTGTGTGTGTGTGTTTTGGATGAGAGAGAGAGAAATTCCGAAAATTGACCCGAACCGTGTTGCGTCACTGCTTTGGCAACACGCACACACAGAGGACACACGACAAGAGAAATCCGCACTCTCTTTCAGTCTCGTGTGAGCTTCCACGCAGGGACCACGCTTCGACCTTTTTTTTTATTTACTCGAGTGCACGTCCATCTACTGTATCTATCCCTCAACCTTTCCACTCACCCACCATCCCATACCACAACACGCTAAGAGTTTAGCGCAAATGGGCGTATTCAACGCCCTCGTCAGCGGCACCTTCCTTCCCTGGAAGCGCGCCAATCGCGAGACCGACTACGAGACTGTACTCTCTCGACTCGAAAGCGAAATTCAAGACGTCCAATCTCGTCTCACCCAAATCCGACTTCGTGAGCGTCGGGCATCGGTAACGTTGACCTTGCAAGCTTTCTTGTTGTGGGCGATCTACACTGCGGTATGCTGGTTCTTTGGGCTCTTGACTCTGAGAAGAGTGCATGGGTATGAACATGATGCTACGGGAAAGAAGGTTAAGATGATGTTGGTTTGGGTTCCTGTGTTGGGTAGTCCCGTGTTGATCATTTCTACGAGGAGAATTGTTAGGTGGTGGTATAGGAGGATCGGTGCGGCTGAGGAGAAGCATTTGATCGATTTGAAGAGGCAAAAGAGGGAAAAGGTGGATGAGATTAAGAGGGCAACCAAGTATGATCACTTGCGTATGCTACTGGAGAAATACGACGAGGGTGGACCCAAAGCTGGTGGTGGTGCTTCTGATGCTGCAGCTACGCCATCAAAAGGCAAACCAGGATCCAAGTCCAACTCTCCCAAAGGTTCACATCAATCCCCCGCCGCTCCTTCCAGCGCCTCCAGCACCCCACAGCAACGACTCCCTACCGGCCCTGCACCAACCACACCCGAAGCACAAGCCCTTCAAGCCCAACGTATGGCGCTCATGCGTCAACACGGCAATCTCCCGATTCCTCGACCTGCACCTCTCCCCATCCAAAAGACCTGGATGGACAAACTAGCCGACGCCATCCTAGGCGCAGATCCTTCCACCACAGGACCCGAACAGAAATACGCGCTCATCTGCACCCGTTGTCACGCCCACAACGGTCTAGCACTCAAAGAAGAATTCAACGAGGTGCAATACGTCTGTCCCCACTGTGGACACTTCAACTCTCGTCGTCCCAGCAGCGCTCCTGTCAGCTCGCCTTTCAACAACATGACCGCGACGAACAACAGGATCACCAGACCCGCAGATGGCGCATTGGGAGTCGAAACGCCAAGCAAGCCAAGTAGAACAGAACCAGGCAGTCGATTAAAGCTACGTGCTGATGAAAGCGATGAGGATGACGATGAGGATAGGCCTCCAGTCGCAACGTTGCAAGACGAGAAAAAGGATACATTGATCCAAGACAAGATAGATCACACCGATCAAAGGATCAAGTCTTTGCGCGAAAGAAAGTCGCATTCCAACAAAGCGACGGATGGGATGGATATTGATGAGGATTGACGGCATGGCGACTTTCTGTTTTGCAATATCGCATCTAATCAATCTGAACTGGGATCGAATATTGTTCATGTTCACACACTGTTGCAATTGAGCGCAAACAAATATCGCACCTGAATGACATGAAACGGTATGATTTTCATTTATAGCATGGATTCTGAGGATTGATTTTCGCTGAAGAGTGCACTGCGCAGCCTTTGGAATCACAGACGCTGCTGGGGGAGTCACTCGTAAGCACCATCAAGAATGGCCTTGACGCCGTTCCAGTAATCGCCACCCTTCTTATCCTGCCCCGTCACCTTGGTAGCCACGATTGCTGTTTCGCCTCTCTCGACTCCACATGCTTTGAGGGTAGAGTGTAATCCAAGATCATCGACGAGTTTCTGAATCGCGTCTCCTACCTTGGCGGCCTTGTTCCTGAGCTCGTTTAGCTGGTCCGCGCTGAGTTGGCCACCATGTGCGCCCACTGGTGCGGTGAGTGGGGTAGGGGAAGCGTTGTAAGGAGCTGGAATGAACGGCAGTGTATCCGCCAAGTTCTCAAGATGAGCCAGTGGAGTATCCTTCCACTCCGCCGTAAACTTCACTGTAGGACCCAGGGTGATACAGCTGGTAATGCCATGAGGAATCCCATAGGTTGCACCCAACTTGTGACCCAATCCATGCGAAAGTCCCAAAGCTCCCATCCGACTCTCCGGCCACAACGAATTGAAACAGGCCAACTGCAACCTCTGTCTAACTTCCACATTCTCTGGATCCTTCTTGGATAGTGGAAGATAGGTGAACAACTCCCGAATGGCACTTTGAACACTGGGTCGAACCAAAGGATGCGTATCAGGGCGATAGAGATACTCTACGGCATGGTCTAGAGCACGAATTCCAGTGGACAACCACAGCTTTTCCGGGGTGTCTAATGTCAATTCTGCATCATAGACGATCGCACGTGGGGTAAGATTTCGTGAGCTGACGCCGATCTTGTGCCCTTCATCGCTCTTGAATCCAGCATTCTGGGTCGTCTCTGCCACACTCAAGGTCGTAGGTACAGCAATGGTGGGCAAAAACAGATCCATATGCGTCAAAGGATTCCTAGCACTCTCATCTCCATGTTCCTCCTGATGTCTGTAGAACGAAACAGCCTTCGCCGCATCGATCGGAGACCCTCCACCTACGGCAACGATGACATCGGCGTTGGACTTTTTGATCCTCTCGACAGCCTCTCGAATGCCAGCAACAGGCGCATGTTCACCAATGTCGAAATACGTCTCGCCGCTATAGTAGCCAGAGGAGGTCAAGATTTGCTGAACTTTCTCGATGACTTTGGTCTTGGTTGCGAGGGACTTGCCGGTGAGGATGAAGGCTTTTTTAGTCTTGAGATTGAGAGAATCGATGATAGTGGGGAGGGAGGAGATGGATCCCGGACCGAATTGGACCGCTTGGAGAAGGGTGTTTCTATAGATTCCGGCTGGGGCGGCCATGATTGTTGCGAGGACTGAGCTGAGCTACGTGTGTAGGGGTTGATGGTGGTGAAGAAGACGGAAAAAAAAAGAAGAGGATGCAGCTTGTTTATGATGACTGCAATCCGGGAAGTTGTGATGCTGAGAAGGACGGTGGAAGACCTATATGACCAAGCAAGTCAATGTCAAAAAGCCGGTTGGCACGAGCCGGCATTGACCAGCCCACGCGGGGATAAGCATAAAAGTGGCTCATGCGCGCTGTACTGTACGTACTGCACAGTATACTCCACAAACACACACCCTCGCACTCCATCCACCTTCTCACTTCGGCCTTGACTTTCCACAACAAAGCAAACATTTGCCAACCAAATAGCACTCTCATCTAGAGGCCTCGAGCTCGCTGAAGCTGTTCCGTCCGGTTCCCCACAATAAAAGAATGGATCGCCATCAGGCGGGTCAATCAGCAAAGCCCAAAAATGGATAGCCGTGCGACTGCGAAAAGTATTTAGCCGTCGCTCGTGTCCCAAAAAGTGGACAGGGTTTGTCCACTCGCTCGTACCACAGTCACAGTCGCAACAAGTGCCCTGTAGCGCCCTGCAGCGCCCAAAATCTCTTCTTTTCTTCCCTGTTGTTGGACAATGTCTATCGTAATGGGTTCTGGACGGGTGTCACTCTTTGCTGTGTTGTGTGCAAAACACAAAAACAAGAACTCGTGCGTACAGCCAGGCATCATGTGGCAGCGCGAGAGAGACAGAGAGAGAGAGAGGGGCTGAAGCAAAATAATGAAAAGAAAAAAAGATTTCCCGGCCGGGGAATCGAACCCCGATCTCAGCTGCTCATTTGACGCTTGGCGCCAAATCTTGAAAAAGCCGTATACTGACCGTTGTACTAACTGGGACTAGCTAGTTTGAACATCGTGGATGGTTAGACGTATATGAATAGCAAAAAATAAAATTTGCACTGAGATACACGTTCCAATGAAATCTCCGTGCTTCGTCAGGGGACACCTTCGCCTATGCCTTGAGACTCAGGAGTCAATCTGCCTTGTCCGATACTGCGCTTTATCATCCCATCGTTGTGCCTCACGGTGCTCTGCTAAGTTCGAATCACTTATTCAAGCACAATCTGGGGGGCGGTCGCTCGTGTTGCTATAGAACTGTCACAGTACTAATATCTTGCAATCGAGATGTACAATTCAGCAGAGCAAGTGATGACATTATTCGACGTATCGACAGAGATGAAGTGCAGCGGCAGCCGCTTGAGCGGATGCGCTGGGTATCTTATGGTGTGTGGCAAACGGAAGCAGGAGCAGAAGTGTCCTTGATCGAGTGCAATGACTCAAGACCTTTAGGCAGTATCGGCGGTGGCGACCTCCTTGGACTTTTCGCTGAGCTTGGTGCTGTCCTCGAGACCCTGGGTTGGCGTAGGTACGCGAGTGGTGTTGATCGAGGCGGTCGAAGTGGTGGAAGAACCCTTGTGCTCGACATCGCCACGACGGGCACCAATGACGGGGCCACCATCCTCAGTGTCGTCAGAAGCGGCGTACTTGGATCGAGCACGAATGCGAGCGCCGTACTTGATCAGGATGAAGGGAAGAGGTACGGCGAGCGCCAAGAGACATGCGAGCAAGAGACCGGCGTAGGGAACAGTCAGGTTGTGGAACATCTGGGCCGAGAATAGCGGGAACGAGGCAGCAAGTGCATTGCGCACGAATCCCTGTGCCGAGATGGCAGAGGCACCGTATTCGGATCCGTAGGCATCGGCGAGGTAGTTCTGGATGGCCTCAAAGATCTGGTAGATACCCATGACAAGAGGTACAAGGGCAATCTCGGGTGCAATCCAGTGTACGTGCCTGTACGAGGTGAAGGCAAAGATGAACATGCCGACAGTCGCCAGAATACCTCCGACGGCAGCGTAGTAGAGACGGGCCTCGGGAACAGCGACACCACCGTTACGGGCCTGCGCTCGATCGTAGAGGTACTTGCCATGGAAGGAGAGACCAAAGGCGAGGAAGCAGGCAATCAAAGGTCCAATGTAAGCGAGACCACCGTTGCCGACACTCCAGCCGTGGATCTCCTGGAAGACGATCGGAATGGCCGAGAAGAAGGCAAAGATGAGGGCCCAAGCATAGGCGATGTAAAGCGAGAAGCAAAAGACGACAGGCTCCGAGACGAGCAAAAGGGCAGCTCGGGTGGTCGAGGCGTGCAGGAGCGCCTTGAGCGAAGGGGCCTCAAGCTCAGAGGGAGCACGGTATCGCTGGTCTCCAGTCTCGTTGCGTAGCTTCTTGGCACGCTTGGCGAGGATGACCGAACCACGAGTCTCACGGAGGAGCAAGAACTCGAGGATGACAACGGCGCCGTTGACGATGAGCTGAACCCACTGGATCCATCGCCATCCCTTCTCCTGCAGAATGTAGCCGCAGTAGAGAGGCGCACCAACGGTACCGGCGACAGCAACCAGAGAGAAGAGGGCGACGGGGACACCACGATCCTTGGTCTTCCAAATATCGGCAAGAGTACCGGGGATGATGGTGGTACCTGCGGCACCGAAAGCGCCGCTGAGGAATCGAGCGACAAGGACCGTCTGGATATTCTTGGCAAGAGCAAGAGGGATAAACCAGACGGTGAAGAGAGCGTAGCAGCCCAGGTAGATAGGGTTGCGGCCAACAAACTCCGAGAGGGGTCCCAAGAAGAGGGGGACAATCGAGAAAGCACCGTTGAAGAGAAGCATACCGACTTGACCGACCTCGTTGGAGACACCGAGCTCCTTGGTCATGGGGCCAATACCGGTGGAGAAGGCGGCGGTGGCAAGACCGATAAAGAGACACATGGAGCAGAGGAGGGCAGTGGTGAGCCATTTGCGACCGAGGGACCAGTTCATGGGATTCTCTGGGTCATTTTCGCCGTCCCAGACGACGAGGATGATGTTTTCATCCTTGGCACCGGCAGGAACTTCGACTTCCTTGCGAGGCTGCTCTCGGCTCTTGCGGCTCCAGCGACTGTTCCTGCGCGACTGGGTAGGTCGCTGTGGTGCAGCATCGGCGGCTTCCTCGGGCTGTTCAGAAGCAGCGGCAGCGGCAGCATCGTCGGTGGCATACTGCTCACCGTTCGAGAGGAAGTTGGTGTGAATAGAAGTAGCCTTGAGGACCATGATGGCGATGCCAACTGGCGATGAGGTGATTGGGGAGGAGGGGTTTGCTTGAGGCTGCGTGTACGGATGATGCACTAACAGTGAACGAGTGCTAGAGGAGGGATGAGTGCTCGTACACCAGGATGAGTGGATGGTAGGAGGTAGCGAGGTAGGGGGGAAAGGAGGGAGAGCGGGTTGTTTTTGTACCTGAAGAGATCAAGAGAGCTAGCCAGGGAGACGGTCGGGTGAGCCGATGGAAGCATAACAGGGGATGGCAGAGTCTCGGTAGGCTTCTTCCGACTGTAATGCTCTCTTGAGAAACTTTTCTTCTTGTCCTGCTTAGAGTCACTTGACTTGCTTGTTGAGAGCACATGAATCCAGTCTCACTCTCATTCTCACCTCCTCTCTTCTTACAGCCCGTGTGGGGCCACTCAGATGTTTTCACTCTGGCCCAAAGCAAATGATCCGTGTTGTTCTTTCAATAAGCAGACGTTCCTCACTTTCAAGCCACACATGAAGAGCGAAGAAAGAAGAGAGAGAAAGTTGGGCCGGGAGCCCACGGGGACGAACCAATGAGCCAGTGTTGTACATAGTGTGCGCATCGGGCCCCCATTTGCAGTTGCAGTATGCATTCATGCTGAGGCGCCATACGGGGCTCGCTTGAAACCATGAAAACACAAAGAAAACATGGCGCAGATGTGGCCAACAGAGCAGCACAATTGGTCTCATCGGAGCGCAACGGTCGCAGAGGATGCTGTTGATACCTCCTTCACCATGAAGCGGCAATCGTCCTGTGACGGTCAGGTCGCTAAACTTTATGACAAGTTTTAGCTCGACGCAACAAGATACGACACACGTCCAAGGCGAATCCGAGCTTAGACGTCAAACAAGAAAGCGAAGAGAAGAGGAATGAATTGACACTATTCGGCTAAGCTTTAAAATTCTTCTTAGACCGATGTTCCACCGCTCAGTCACAGCAGCTCTCTCACCAATTTGTTCTAGCCGCTAGTCTGATGTATCCATTCCTCTCGATCCATTCTTTTGCGTCGCGACCGAAATACGTCTCTGTCTGCACAATCACCCAATCTACAGTACATACGTTGTTTGTCGAACCTGGCCGTTCTCCTCCTTGGGTGGACGCAGGCTGTCGAGCGATCGAAGTGGGCACACTTTATTCCATAAACATGAACAAGCGGGCGCAGATTCGCCAAAGCTTCGGCTCTTCCGCGTCCTAAATCCGACACTGCGACTGAGGAAACCAGACTCTTGGCCCGCTCTAGGCTGAGATGAACCTTGAGCCAGCTTTTCTCTTTTGTGTTGCGAGCGCCAATCTAGGAACCCATGACCATGCCTTGCCATAAGCCCGTCAGAGGCTTCCTTGGGATTACACTATCGCCCCTCTTTGACTAGAGTACCTAAACATCTGCGCTTCCAGAGAGCCGGCCATTGGTGCAAATTTTTCTGGCGAAACTCGAGGGCACGCTCTCACCAGCTCGAGATTCGCCGAGCTTAGTTTGCCAAGCAGCAAGCTTTTTTGGCACAAATCTTTGATCTTGAGTGGACACGGCGCAGCCGGTTGCATTCCGGCTTCTCGGACCTACCGAGCTGCGCGCAACAGCCAGCTTGATTCCCAAAGGATGGCGTCAAGGGGTGTTGGCACGCCATGCAGATCCTAAGGGTGATCCCAAGGGTGCAGGCAAAAATCCACTCTATTTGCGCTTTCCGCATCGGAATTCGAAAAAGAATTCGCCGTCTTCGGAGGATTTTTCAATTGCACCTGCAGAAACGAAGATCTGCCGGGTTTCCAAAAACGTCACACTACGGCAGCTGACGATTTCCACCGAAACGATTTGCGCTTTTCCTGGTTTGGCAGCCATGATTAGAAGTCGCTGATGACGAGACTCTGGACGAGCTCTCCGACAATGAGCCAGTGGAAGGGCCAAGCTCACCTTCGTCAGAGACTTTTAAGCTCGAGAAAGCGCTCTCTCCTTGGCTCTCCGTTCTCGTGGCCCTCATGGACCGTGATCGCCAAGTCGACCAGCGAATTGATGCTTGGAGGCCTCGTGTGTCTTGGCAGGTCAGATGAGGTCTTGTCCACATCAGCAATTTCACCACAGCCCTTGATTGCGTGGACCAAGTCGGCGGCTTTCCCGAAGTGCTACTTGGACCCTGCAGCCAGATGGCAGAATAAGAAAGAACGGACCGAAATTTCGCCAAAAAGTTGCATTCGGTCGAACTTCGCCTCGAGTCTGACATCATGCAGCAACTTGGCATTCCCGGAAGCTCGGTGTTCCCGACTGCACTCTTGCAAAGATCATAATGTCTATTGATCTGCTCTGAAGGCCAGATTTTGAGGGTTCTATCGTCTCATGCTACAAGCTGCGTGCGAACGGCATGATTCAATCCAATCGGTGAATCTTCACAGTGTACGAGTCGCGTATGCTTTGGATCAGCTTGTGGGCCGGCCAATTGCAGCAAACTGCATCGCTTCCTTACGCACTGTAGGATTTTTGTTGGAAACCTCCTCGGCATCAAGACCCTTGGCGCCATCCCTACATTGGAACAGGGTCTCGTGGCAACTCGGCTGACCGTCGTCTCTGCAAAGAAACATGTCGCTGGTCAGCATGATCCTTGTTCCTCGGATATCGAGGCAAACAAGGTGTCGAGCAGCTCCCCTTCCGCACGGCTATGAAGTGCCTCATTGTATCAATAGAAGCTGATGCTGTTTGTGTATTTCGGGTGTAGGGAGTGTCGCCGCTCGTAAGATGA